ACGCCGCGTCCAGCCCCAGCAACAGCTCGCAGTCTCTCGCCAGCTCGGCGTGCTTCGAATAGCCAGGAAGTCGAGAAGCTCCGCGTAGATGCTCTTGTTCGGATTGAAAATTGGAATGTTGCAGGTCGGACCAAACGCTGCTGGCTCGGCAGCATTACCGAGTCCGACCCAAGTTCTCCGCATTCCGGTTGGCGTAAGCTCCTTCAAGTGCTCATTTTTCGAATTGGGAATGGAGCTGTCATAGATCTGCAACAACCTGCACTCCATATCGAGCTCGGCATGCTTTCAAACGCGGAGCTTGGCGCAAGGGCGCCCTGTTCGAATTTCGAAACGTCAGCACTACAGATCGGCAACAGGTCCGAGATCGTCTCGATTTGGATGCGTTTTGAAGGTCAGAAAGCGGAGCCCGGTGCCAATATCTTGACCAAAGCTGGCACAATACAGCTCTGGAGTGTTGGGATGTGTGAGAGTCGGAGTTTGGGCGCTTTTTCATTTGGGATGATCAAGCCTTTTTAAAAATGAATGTATGTATGGAAAACTGGGATGTGGGACTGGGCAGATGAGCGCACTATCACCTGGGAGTCTTGGCGCGCCAGGTGGTGTGTTTGTCGCCAAACGCCAAGGCCATCTGGCGCTCGGCACATGCAGACACTCATCGATGCATTTATACGCGTATGTCTCTTTTCACCGCATATTGGATTGCGTGCTCAACGCGCATTGGCTCTGCATGCAGCTCGTGCACAAATAACCTGCCAAATGTGCTTCAGGATCAGCTTTCTAGGCAACCTTCCTTAAATTCAAACATAAAAATCAAAAATCAAAAACCACCCTGCAGAAATCACCTCGCGAGGATGGCATCTAACTTTTCTTCCAGGAATTAATTGTCGCCTATTTGGGAGACAAATTTCATTATACTGTATAAGTGGAAAAGTTTGCGAGGAAAAAACTCACATATTCTGGGCGGTAAAATGTTCCGGCAGAACCAGTGCGTGCACTCGTCGGTGCACGAATATTTTCCGCCGTGGGCTTTTTTCGCCGCGCGAATATTTGCATTGCGCGGGCATTACGGAACGGGGCGCCTGCCGGCCTTGACCTTCGCCAGGGCTGGCGCCATTTCTTATTGTGCCGCGCCGCCCCTCGGGCGCCGTCCTGACCCCCCGGCTGCCGTAGACGAATGGCGCAAAACTGAGATGAGAATAGAGCCGCCTGGTTAGGGAGGTGGCCTTTCCTCGCCGCCAAAGTTCAGCTAGCGGATGGCCACCGGCGCGAACGATCTGCTAGCCTGCTCCGGACTCCTTGAAGGCGGTCGCTGCTCGTCAAAGGACGCCGCACGAGGCAGTCGTCGTTGCGCAAGACCAGCGGGACAAAGCGCGGGAAGCGCCCGATCCATTTTGGTGGAGGCTGGAAAGTTTGCAATGGCAAAATGTTCAGGCGGAAAAAAAGTCTGCGCTGTTGCACTACGGCGAAATGCGTGAACTTTTTCCCTCGCGAATTTTTTACTTATACAGTAATGGCCGCCTCAGAGTAGCGAATGTATTTCATAATCGAAAATATTGGGCCCCAAACCCCTCGAATACCAATTTTTGGGAAAACGGTTGCCCCAAAGTACAAAATACTCAGTCCCACTACCTACGGAACACCCTCGAAATTGCTTAGAACTCAGCAAAAGAATGCGCACTCTGTTTCGGCGGCCGTTGGAGATCCGGTCGGTTCTGGGTCGCTGCCGTCCCAGGTGCGCCAAATCAGAGTCGTTGCCACCGTCGTGGCAAATGGCAGTGACCCTCACGTGGCATAGCGTTTGCCCAACAAGCTCAACCCATGGATTATGTCGTATGGATGACGCATGGGGATGAAGTATGGATCCCCATCGAAAGACCCCTTTTCCACGGCGACGGCGATGGCCCAAATCACCGCCATCCCTGACCTCTGATGCTCAGACTTGCCACAAATGCAACAGTCCAACGCCCAAGAGGCTGGAGCACATACTTTGTGCAGGCTGTCGCCCTGAGCCTGCACTATAGCTTTGCCTTGACATTGAGCTTCGAGTGGTATTTGAATCGAGGCATTCGTGCGCTGCTAGACCAGTACTCCATATGTTGTTGCTAGCGGCCAACTTCCCCATGCGGCTGGCAGCCCGTCGCAATCTATCTAGCCTGTGCTTGCGTGAGATACACTAATTTATCTTCACGACAGTCTGCTTCGCTTTCCCCCCTTTCAATTATCCAGGCAATTGCCTGGACTTGCAAGCCGACTTTGCCGTCCTGCATTGGAAGCCATTCCCCTAATTGTTCGCCGTTGACTAGGGCGATGGCCACCGCATTTCTTCTCACATCTTCGAGGGGCTCGGGGGGCCTTGCGCAGTACCCATCACAACAGCGATGGAGGTTCAAATGTCACGGCCCAGAAATCTGTTCCGCAAATGCATCTCCAAAGTGGATAATCGATTCCTAGTTAGGGCTGCAGAGCACGGCAATTTCTGTCATAAAGCCCGCCAAGACAAGTTCTCTGCCGATGGGCTTCCTCGCAGGGACCTCTCTGAACTTCCGTCCAAATAGCGTGGACAATTTACAAGGGCGGCCTAGTTTGGCCACCGCCAAATCGTGCTCCTCGCCATCGCGGAAAACGTCCGTTTCGGTGACTTTGTAGTAAGCGTCCTCTGGCCAGAAACCCACCCGTTTTTAAAGAAGTACTGCCAAATGCTCAATACCTGGCAAATTGGCCTGAAACTTGAATCGTATACTCCAGAAACACAGACGCAGCTTTCGAAGAAATTTTCTTGAAAATGTAAGCACCCATAATGGAGAAGTAGGGCGCCAAAGTCATAGACAATTAATTCCGCGCAGAGGAAATATTTAAAACGCTTCAGGTGAATTTTCCCAACACCTCCTGACATTTCACAGTGGCTGTTTAAAACTGAAGCAGGCACTCTCGCCTATTTAAAGATGAAAAGGAAGATATATGTGGTGCCTTTTTTGCCAGGTGGGAATTTTCCAAACGAGAAAAAATGTACACATGACACAATAAATCTATAGTTGAGAAGTACAGAAGCAATTTAAAAACGTGACAAAAACCCGCACATGATAGAGCAATTTACAGATGACAGGTTACGCAGGCAGACAGAGAAGGCAACTAGATTACGCTGCCATGTCTCTGCGGCATTATTTATTGGCTCATCGCCAGAAGCCCACACGTTCTTCAACAGTGTACAGCCTAGTCTTCAATACTTGACGTATCGACCTAAAATTATTTGTTAGCTCATTGCAACAGATCCTTAACGCATGGCGATTCAATCGCGAAAATACCCAAACTGCACTGGAAATGTTGAAAAAAAAAATTCCCCGGAGATAGGCAGTGTCCGGAGATCTCCACGATCACAGCCGCCGAGGGCAATGAGTGGCGTCAGGCCGGTTTGCGACACCACAAGTGCGCTTTGAGCTTCCTCCATTCCTGGCTGTGAAATATCCGATAATTGGATATATCATTCTGAACATGGCAAGCTTTGAGCCGTTTGTCATCCCCATGTTGCGGTTCCATTGTGTCATGTCGAGCATGGTAAATTCTGCACCGAATCCGCGAAGCGTGTGCAACAACAGAACTGCACTGATGGTCTCTGGTACGCTATTTTGTTGCCCTGCGTGCTTCAGTCGGTATGATCAGCACCAAGCATTTTGCTTTTCCGGATGCAAAATCCTTGGTACGGACAAATTCAGACAATTAATGCCGTAAAGGATTTCACTTCAGCACAGCGTTGCTGTGGCAGCAACGTGTGCTGCGCTGTTCACTAGGAAAAAAAGAGCCAAATAACACTTTTGCGAACACACATAAAACACATTTCATCATAATTTAACACGCTAAGAACACAAAAATAGCACAAACCCGTAAACTTTATACACGTTTGAACACGTGTTATTTGGCCCTTTTTTTCCTAGTGGTTTGTCACTCATCGAAGCCTGAATGGACAGTCGGTTTGGGATTGACGGCGTCCAATTCGGAAGCGGGCATCCACAAGTTGCCACATCGGTTCAATTGCATCGAATTGGTGTCAGCACACGGCTTCAACCGAGCGCCTGCGCCGTCACGCTCGACTGGTAGCCCACAGTGCACAAACAAGTAATTTACAAAGCTCGCATAGCCCGCTCATTTCGCTTCATCGCCCTGCAGATGCCTGGTCAAACTGGATATAAAGAACATGCTGGATATGCTGAATCTCAATCGGCACAACAAGGTCGCCCACTGCCTGGACCCCCTGGGGCCTTTCCCACCAGTCTCCACCACACACCGCAGCGCCAGTCATTCGTTCCCCCGTTCTCCCCATTTCATGACAGATCCAACATGCCCGCAAGCCCGCTGAATTCGCGACAGAAGTTGCAAGAATAGCTTGTTTATTTCAACGCTCTGAACATCCCCTCCCCTCCTCCCAATAAAAAATCAAGTTTCCCCGTTCACAAACCGCAAATGCCTGTGCCACGCTCTGAACATCCCCTCCCCTCCTCCCAATAAAAAATCAAGTTTCCCCGTTCACAAACCGCAAATGCCTGTGCCAGCCCGCCAAACCGGGTGCATAGCAATCCCTGTCCACATAATCGGGTCTCTCGCTACACGCAGATCCCGTGTAGCATTCCCTTCAGCTTTAACCATGGACCACATGTAAAAACGTGGAAAACATATCGAAAATAATCATTTTATTTGCCCGATTTCCCACGTATTATCACACATCGCACACCTCCCATTTCGTTTCCCCGTTTTTCCTCTAGAGTCTCGCACATCAGACACGTCCCTATGGCCCCCCAAATCCGCTCCCTCGCCTCACAAATCACCACAGCAACGCGCCAACCCCTCGAGCTCTTGCTCGCGAGCAATCTCTTGAACCGCCAAGCCCCGCGTAGTCCAACACATGTGTCGGAATGAAGCCCCCGCGCCGCTCAATAAAGGCGCACACAGTACAATACCTGTACCGCATATGCACGGTAGCGCGTGCTACCTGTACCGCACAGTGGCAATCAGACCGCCGTCGACTTGGCTTCCCTGCGGTAATCGTGCAGCTTCGACCCGGCGTACTGCCCCTGCTCCAGGCCCTGCAGGTAGTGCTTGTTCAGCATATGGCCCCGCTTGCCCTCCTCGAAGAACTTGTCGCCCTCGATGTTGATCGTCTCGCCGTCCACGTCCTGCCACTCCGGGTAGGGGCAGCATGAGCCCAGCATGGCGACGGTGTCCAGGGTGTTGGACAGGGTTTCCAAGTGGCCGATGTCGCCCTTCTCCATTTGGTGCGCACAGTTGGCGAAGGCGTAGACCTCCAGCTTGGCCAAGTGCCTGGCGAGCCGCAAAGAGATGGCGTGAGACGCGTGTTAAGTTGAAAATTTGTGCGCGGATTCAAAGATGGCAAAGGCAGTGCGAGGCCAATGGGAGCAAATCTGTAGGTATAAATTTGCACGTTTACAGTATTTGATTGTTGCTCTGGCTCGTTCGCTCACATATCTGCACACCGCCAGCTTGGGGGCAGGCGCCCGCCGAAGGTCGACGCTCGTTGTGAAACGCGCCGTCATTTCAGAATTGCACCCATGTGCCATTCTACCGTCGTTTGGGGCAGGCAACATCCCAGATTGAATACTTTCGAAAACAGATGACAAGTAACTCAGCCATCAATAGCAAGCAGCAAGCGATTGATGCGTAATTACAAATGAATTCCAAGACACTGCAATACTTCAAGCCATTAGAAGCAGGTGGAAGTATAAGCAACTGAGATGGTAGTTGGTGAATCTGCGAGGCTTCTCGGAAAGGAACAGCGCGGCAAACAGGGCACGAACTGTCAGTCAAGGGCAAGTTCATTCGCCGGCGAACATTGGTTGCTCACCTGTCGGTCAGGTCGTTGTCCTCATGCAGGTCCCTCAGCACGTTGCTGGCAATGATGGTCCCCTGCGAGTGGCAGATCAGCACCACCTTCCTCTTGCCCTCCTCCAGCAGCGCGCTCTTCAGCTGCTCGGCCGCCACTTCCCGCGGGTCCGTCGACCAGTTGTCCCACAGCTTGCCGATGCAGCACTCCAGCAGGTCCACCAGCCCGGAGTCCGTCGGGTTGTGCACCACGGTGATCTCCCGCCCAAACATGGCCCCCATCCTCGTCGCGTTCTTTTTGGCCGACGCGAGCGTCGTGGCGATGCCGTTGAGGAAAAACCATGCCTCCGAATCGTTGGACCACCGGGTGGACCAATCAGCGGGGTACACGACAGAATCTTCCCCGTACAGCATCCACGCCAGGGTTGGAAGCCTCTTTTTCAGCCAACTAGGCGTCTTGGTGGGGATGGTGGGCATGTAGGTGCCCCAGATGTCGGCCAGCACGTGGAGGAACGGTTCCTTGGGGCCCGGCTCTTGCAGGAACGGCTCCTCGGGGCCCGGCTCTGCGTCACTGGTCCCCGGGGCCCGGGTGCCGGTTTGACCGTCGGTTGGCTTTTTGGCCTCCCGGGGGCCGAGGACGCCGGTCACGGCGCCCGGGATGCCGGCCGGGAAGCCGCCCTGCTCTTTGATGATGAGCCTAAGGACGTGCAGGAACTCGCGCGCGGACAGCAACAGGCCGGGCATCTTTGGTGCTGGCGGTCGTCGAGTTCTGTGATCCAAGCTTCGGGAACGCCTTTTGGAAAGCGAACCTGAAATGCAGATGCGCCTGAATGCACATGAAATGACGTCAGCTGTAGTTATGGGGAGCCGCATTTGAAAGCACACCGATGCATGACAACCATAATTGTATGCAACCATCCATGCGTCGTTGCATCATTACCTATTATTTTGCTACATTACACATTGTACGCTGCCGCAGTAGCAATGCTGGTGTGTGTTTGCACATCCCAACTACATAACCCGTTGGTTAGCACCATCCTGAATTACTTGAGGTGTGCATTGAAGTGCCATGAAGGCGGTCTCAGCAGCGCTACGCAGCCAAAAAGCCAATTGCACACCACCCACTAGGTAATCATGACTCAAGTCTCCCCTCTTGCCACCTTCGATCGCTTCCTGTATTTTCTTCTGGGCATCTATGCAACCTTGTTGGGGGGCCACAATCAATACAACAGCAAAATCACAAAACAACGGCCTGTCTACATCGCCTTTTGGGGGGGGGGAGATTCAAAGCGGCGCCAGCGGTTTCCTAATCACCCTTTCTTGACGATGCAAGAATCGATCGATTAGCTGGTCGGTTGGTTGGTCACACAGCGCTGAGAGTTTTGGGACGGGCTGGTGCCCATCCTCGCCGCCCCTCATTGCCTCATTACAGACTACCCCGCAAATTTCCACCTGCCATCCAATCACACTTCAGTGGCTGCCACACGTGGGTCGGTGTGGGTCAGTCGGGCAGTCAACCCGCGACACCTCCCCAAAGCTTGCGCCCAGACGGGCCAGGGCGCTCGGCTCGCTCCCTTGCCCCGGGGGCCGCCGCAACCGACACCGAGTCGCATCCGCCCAACCCCCAGCGGCTGTTCCTGTTGCTGCCGCCCGCGAAATTGACGACCTGCCAACGCCTGGACAGCATCCCCCAGGCGCAGCCAGGAAACCGAGCCCGCCATGGTGACCCCCTCGGCCCCGGCGCCACGGAAGGCTTCCGGCCTGCGACTGGACGCGTCCCGGTCGCCCCAGCGCCCCAGGGGACGCCTCTGCTAGCGTTGACCATGCGCGACCCGCCGCATGCATCGCGTTGACCGTTGGGGACGAGCCGCGGGCAGGGCGCGGAAACCTCGGGCGTCCCCCCATTCCTGGGCAGGCATCCCCCTGTGCCTCGCCCATCCCAAGCCCCAACCCCCCCAACCCCGCACCCACATGTGCGTACGCGATACATCCCGGCATTCCACCAATCCGTCAAGTCACCAGCGTTCTCCGCGCGCCACTCTTTCCGCCCGCGCGGCTCCGCTGGCGCCCGCGCGAAACGTCGCCGCCTAAAATAGCGCCCCCTCGTAACGTCGACCGGTTCAAAAGGCCTCGGCGTGCTCAGGCCTTCGCTGCATCGGCCAATTTCTCTGCCAGTCTTGCTTTCTATACTTCTCCCTATCCCCTACCCCCCCACCGCCGCGCGCGACCATCACCTAAGCCACTTCCTTCCAGGATCACACCCCGCGCCCCACCACGCACCTTTCGCGATTTCCCCCGGCAGGCACGCCGCGCTGAATTTTCCGCGTTGACTTGCGCGTTGACTCTCGCCGGCGCCCTTCCCCTCTCACCCAACGGTTCAGCTCCGGCCGCAGGAAGAAGTGTGAGCGGTTCCCGGCCTCGCGTGGGGAGGGTGTGCCGAATGCTGCCGAAGATTGGCCAAGTACGGCGGCAACCACGGGCTTTTGTTGTGTTCGGCGCGGTCACACATTTTGACAGGCGGCGGTCAACTGCCGATGGCGTCGCTTCCCGGGGCTTGCCGCACGCGGCCCAAACATTGGCCGGCGGGCGCCCGTATGACAAGCGCCGCGCCATGGCGAACTGCGCATCGGCCACCTGGAAACGCTGTGCAAAGGAGATGGACACCCATGCTGGGGCCGCAGTGCCCTAACCATGCATAGAAGGACGCCCACGAGTAGAACATCTATATCGATGAGTCCGTCATCGCGCAGGGCGGCAAGTACGGCCACCCGCTCAACCTGACCGGCCTGGCCAGGGGCGACTACGAGGTGTCCACCCTGCACATGCACAGGAGGGAGCCCGCCGCGTCCTGCCCCGGCGACAGCTCGCAGTCCCTTGCCAGCTCGGCATGCTTCGAATGGCCGCGGAGCTCAGTGCAAGTGGCCTTGCCTGAATTGACAGCAGGAACCTCAAGGGTAAGCAGCACTGTGTAGTTCATCTTGAGCTCGATGTGCTTTGCACGGCCTGGAACGGGGCTTTTGTCCGAAACTGAAGTCAAGCGCCAGACGCCAACTTGAAAATTTCCACATGTGTCTCGTGCATATTCCAAGGTGCAGCCAGCTTGGATGCACAGCGTGATACGAAATTTTGTGATAGGGAAGTTGGCGTGTGGATACTTTTACACGTGGTGGACTCGCGAAAATTGCCCTGTTCAAAACAGTGGTGGGGGTAATACAGTCTTGGAACACTTGCACGTGAGAATGGCACGTGTGCTCATCCCACATAGATGTTCCAGCGTACCAGTGTGGCATGTTTTGGTGCAGAAAAAAAGGTTTTCAAGGAAGCGCATGGCAACGCCCTTGCCAAATGAAAATCTAAAAATGGTACAAAAAGAACACATGGCAGACTGAGATGACGGCTGGCGGGCTTACTCTCCTGCAGAAAACGGCCACAACAGGGTGGCTTCACCAAATGCTTGCCTCATGTCATCGCCGCTCCTTGCATATCGTTGACGGCGCCCTGCATCAGCGTCACAGCGCTTGGGGACAAGATCGCGAGAGATTCTGCATTGCATGGGAAACATTGCGCACGGCGAGTCCCGGAGGTAGGAAGTTGTTCCTGCGATATCCATGACCCCCAGTCATCGACCGACCTGACGCCGTTAATTGCAATTCCCCGAGAGCAGCATGCAATAGCGCCAAGTTGCATCGCCGTATTGGATGCGTACGTTGAGATTCTGCCTGAGTCCTGCTGGGGGCAAAATATGGACTCCTGGGTTTTCTCGTAATGATCAAAATCGAAAATTTTATGATGCCTCGTTACTTGTATTTCGGCTTCATTGTGTCATGCCGAATACAGCAATCCTGCATCGCGTCCACCAAACACATGCAAGAACAGAATAGAAGTGTTGGCTCCCAGTGTGCGCTTTTTGTCTCTGCGCATATTGGTCATCTCAGCTGGTACGATCAGCAGCAAATGCTATGCCTTTGCATGTGCAAAATCCTTAGCTTCGGCGACTGCCAACACTGGATGCTGTCCAGGGCTTAAATCCAGCACAGCGTTGCTCTGGCAGCAACGCGTGCGGCGCGACTTGGAATTGACAGCGGCCAATTCGAAAATGAGGTCGCACAAGTTTCCGCGTTCATCCAACGGCATCGAAATTGGTGTCAGATTCCGCACGCGGCCTCGCTCGAACAGCTGCGTCATCGCGCTCCATTGGGCGTCCGAAGCGCGGAAAAAGTACTTTACAACATCTCGTACAGTCCGGTTTTCCCTTCATCGCACTGCAAGTGTCTCGCCAAACTGGATATCGTAATCGCCATTGCACGATAACGTCGCTCGCTGCATACATCCCCTACAGCGCGCCTTCCAGTTTTGACCAAGTCGCGCTTCCTCCATCATTTTCTTCACCCATTCCTTCCCAGCGTCCAACGGATCAAATGCGTCGGCAAACCCGCCGACTTTGCGTCTGAAATGCCCCCCCCAAAAGTCGGCTTATTTCAAAACTCTAAAACTGCGCGTTCTCGCGGTTGAAATTGCTCCATTCGACTCTGGAAGTCGGGGTGACTCGGTCCTGGACATGGCTTTATAGCCTCCCTCCAAAAGCGCAAATCCCTCACACCCTTCTCTAGGATTGCGACAAGCACGCCAAACAACATCCATGCCGCCATTTTGGCTCCTGTCAACACCCAGCTGACATCCACCATGCGCGTCTGCCAAAAACTGCACGGAGCTTTTGCCCAGTGCGCCGTCCCAGCCGGCTTCTTTAAACCTTGACAAGCAAAGCTTGCGCCGGCGTTGTTGAGGCGGTGCACGATCAGCGATATCAGCTTCACCCCAGGTGCTTTTCAGCTTGCATCTCGAGTTTGAAGTCGAGCTTCAGGGCTCCTGCAAGGACACCTTGCAACGATCTTGCAGCAGCTCGGGTTGGGAGGTCTGGTCATTTCTCCAACACTGTCAGTCTCACGAGGCTGTCCAAGAATACGCTTCGTGGACCATTTCAGCCGTTCTTCGCTGTGGAATACTCCACATCCCCCAATCAGATTTTTCCCTTCGTCACACAGCACATTCCTGTGCTGTCCCCGCCAGTGGATGCATTTCGATCCCTCCCCGAATGGACCTCGTGTACATCTCCCCTCGGCCTTTGCGTAACTTTGCAGAAAAGCAAAAAGAAAAACATATTTCTTTCGCCCATTCCCCGTAAAGTGTCCCACATCAAGTGCGTCTCCCCCCCAAGTCCGCGGCCTCACCCCCCAAATCGTCGTAACCACAGGTCAACTGCCGCGGGAAATTTCAGAAGCCGCCAAGCCACGGCGGCATCCGACACATGCGTTGTCGCGCAGTACACGTTACGCAGCACTGCGCAGCTGTACGCGCAGCACACCGCGCTCTCAGGTCGACTTCGACTTGGCTTCCTTCCGGTAGTCGTGCAGCTTCGACCCGGCGTACTCCCCTTGCTCCAGGCCCTGCAGGTAGTGCGTCTCCAGCATGTGGCCCCGCTTGCCCTCCTCGAAGAACTTGCGGCCCTCGATGTTGATTGTCTCCCCGTCCACGTCCCGCCACTCCTTGTAGGGGCAGCACGATCCCAGCATCGCAACTGTGTCCAGGGTGTTGGACAGCGTCTCCAGGCGGCCGATCCTGCCCTTCTCCATCTGGTGCGCACAGTTGGCGAAGGCGTAGACTTCTAGCTTGGCCAGGTGCCTGGCGGACCGCGAATAGATGGCGTGAGACGTGCTTCATTGAGAACGTGTGTGCGCATTATGACGTCATGTGATGTCATGCCTAACAGACGGACCGTATTATATATTGTCGATCGTAGTACATGATGTCATTATCAATGATGGTCATAGAAATGTAGTTATATTTCTACTAATGAGTGGATGTATACGTGGACATGCACGTCTGTTGTGCATGGCGAGCGCCCCTGCATGTGCTGTCGTGCACCTACGCAACTCCAGCGTGGCTCTGTCGGATTACGTGAGAGGAATATTTCATTTTTTCACACATTCTCCACATATTTTCAACACATTTTGTTACACATGTTTTTCACATGTTGTGATAATGTGCGTGGATTCAATACTAGTCGTACTATAAAATTTGATGGACGCAAAGTGTGCATTCACGAGTTTGCACGTCTATTGCGAATAACGTGCGATTCAGCATATGCAGCCGCACTCCTGGGCAACTCCATATTTGACTCTTGTCTCGCTTCACTTCAGAACAAACGTTGGGACAAACGCGATTTACCATGGTTGCTCATCTGCCAGGGCTCCCCCAGAATGTCGAATTTCTCGTCTCTCTTTCTCGAGCCTGAACATTCTTTTACAGTTCTTTAGTTGTTTGGGGTTTGTGCATCGCCTTGGTCACACTCACTCGGTGGCACAAGGCCCACATATCTTGTGATAGGACGGGGAGGCGCATGGACGCTGAAATGTGATGCAACGTTTTGGGATAAAAACTCCAGTTTGGACGGGTGCCTGCCGAGATTCGACCCCTTTGTGAATTGTGCCACTGTTCGAGGTGGAAGGATGTGGACTCTGCTTTCGATCAAAGAAGAAAAAAGAATGGATCATTAATATTATTATACATTCCAATACATTAAGAATGTTTTTCCATCTGCCGAAAACCTGCGGTTCATTTGAGCGGGGTCTCAAAGAAAAAAGACTACGTGATGCAAAAACTTTCAACGGTGGAAATTCCGAACTTTACTAATGCAAATTGCGTTGCTAAAACTTATACAAAACGATAATAAGTTGTATCAGCAATTCATCCATTCTCAATTCTAAGCAAAATGGCGCGGTACAAACGAACCGTCCCTAAACATACAAGGCAATTCGCCGGCGCGATGCCGAAGTCCCTCACCTGTCGGTCAGGTCGCGGTCCTCATTCAGGACCCTCAGCACGTTGCTGGCGATGATGGTCCCCTGCGAGTGGCAGATCAGCACCACTTTGCTCTTGCCCTCCAGCACCAGCGCCCTCTTCAGCTGCTCGATCGCCACCTCCCGCGGGTCCGTCGACCAGTCGTCCCACAGCTTGCCGACGCAGCACTCCAGCAGGTCGACCCCCATGCAGTCCGTGGGGTTGTGGACCGCTGCGATCCTGCGCCCGAACATATGCCCCATCCTCGCCGCGTTCTT